GTTTGTTCCACACCAACCTTCCTTTGGAAATGAGGTTCTGTGTATAGTCAGTTGCAGTTCGATTATGAACTGGCACTGCTTCCCACGCCGAAAGCTATCTTCGCCCCGAAACGTCATATCTATGTGCGGGAGTATTGGCCCAGTTATCCAGCATGAGGCGTTGATTTCACGTGAGACCACGTCTGTCTGATTTTGTTGTGCATAGCTAGATGCACTGGCGCTTCAATTCGCAACTGACAGTGACTAATCGGGATGACGTCATGCTCGAGAATGATAACCGAGGACACTTTGGTACCTGGCTCACCGTCGAAATGATGGACTATTTGGACTGGGGAATGCTGACGCATCTGCTAACATATTTAGACTGCGCATTTTCGGCGATTATCTAATGCGACAGCTCTCTAAACAAAGTCTGCATCAATGGTTACCTTGAATCGAACTACTTTCGCAAGAGGGCTTCCGTGTTTCCGAAACGAAAAAGTGATAATTTGCCAAAATCTCCCTACATAGTTTTTCGAAGAAATGAAGTGGGTGCTGTTTCCAAACATGGCGGTTACTATTCTGCTTTTCAAGATATGTAAGCATGGCTAGTCAATTGCTTCTTCATTTGCCATAGATGTTCGTAGGGCATATCATTACGGCGACAACGTTACGCCTTTTTGTGATTGTAGCTAATGCTTGTGCATACAGTTTATTGATCCTTGAATTGTTTTCAACTCAGGCCAAGAATTCTGATTAAATCCAACAATCCATCGAACTACTATCGCAAGAGGGTTTCCGTGTTTGTACTCTGGGGCTAGACTATCGGTATTAAAGGAGGTGTACCTCATATAAGCCTGCACTTAATTTACAGTAAATCAGAGTCTTTAAAGGTACAACAAAGTAGCGGTATTTGTGTCCATACATCAAACACATGTTTGTGTGGGTAATGCTCTGAAGACATGGGTGTGCTTATTTTAATGCGTTCAATCCATTTGTAGTTTATTCAGTGAAAGATAAACGCCCACCTGCTTGCGCACTTTAAAACATTTTTCATGATGGAAGACAGCGTTCACTCAAGGGCACACTCGGCAAATGTGGGATTGTCTCGTACACGAATCTATCATTGGTTTACCAGTACACAAATGCAAAGCGCCGGACGTAAATATTCGAATCTCTTGCCTTGCGCGCCAATGACTTCTCATAACAGGACGAAAGCAGGTCCACATGTAGAGGGCCTTTCCTGTTTCAGCCAAAATTCCCTGTTGGGTACACGTTCCGATGGGTTCAAAATTTGTGATTGTATTATAGGGATCGTGTATAAGTTATTTAAGTAGTCTTTTAGGGTGTTCATACTCAAACACCCTTGAAGACGTTAATAACGCTTCATCCTAGAGTCGAATTTTAGCAGTGTCCTTTGCATGCGTCAGCGACTACTCAGTCTTGGGGCGTAGGTCTGTCCACAGCCGTTTGATTTATTCCGATGGGACTTCCGTTAGAGCCGGCGACTGAATTTGTGTCAGAAAATAAGTCCTTCCGGATACGTGTCTGCATGTTCTTCGTCTTCGGTGGAGTTGGTTTCGATACCTCATCCATGTATCGTGATCCACCTTCGCACCAAAGATGACTTTCCCATGTTGGTGTGCGATCATCCCTTTTTGATCATTGTGTTACGTCCTAATCTTACACGACATTTTCCACCTCGAATGGCGTGGTCAGTTTCATGCGGGAAAGCTTCATGCCCTTGAATTATACTGGAGACATGATGAAGTTTGTTGTCCGTAACTTAAGACCTCGGACAGCCTGTTGGCATTGGGAGCAGACCTTGACCACGTCTGCAGATTGTTGGTCCAGAAGGCAATTGGCGATAGATCAGTGAACGGAAGGGTTCGAACACCACAACACGTTTACCGAACATTAAGCAACCGTCTTCAACCCAGAGGGACCTGCTTCGCTGGTTAAACTGTCGGTTTTAAGGCGTATTATTACACCCACAACTGATATCCGCTGGGGTAGCCAGTATTTTTAAAGCGCTTAATTTTCACTAAATACCTACTTGAATTATGCATAACCTGCGAAGGTTGGTTAAATCAGTGGATTACCTATATTCGTTTTGAATAGGCTAACCGCCCTAAAACACTTCATTAGACCACATGGTCATCAAGGTAATAGGGTTTAACAATGACTTGCGATGCTCAGTACTAATAAGTACTTGTTTTGACATGCTATCAGGGGTGGCAATTTTGTCAGTGCAATCACCTGTTAGCTTGCCGTTTTGGGTCATTTGATCCTGCTATGCAAATAAATGCAGGTCCGTAATATACCAGCAGTTATGAAGTCCGAAAAACGTCACTGCCTTTGAGGATGTGAAATCTCACAGTGGACAGACCTACCTCTGGTGAAAGGTGTACGTGAAAAATGGCACTAGCCTCTTTTATGACGTAGATTTCATCAAGGGCTTTCATTTATTTGTCCCGGAATCGAATTCTCTTCTATGATTTCTTGCAAACTCCTAATCTGAATCGATCAAGGATACAAATAAATCCTTGCGTCGAAGGAGTCGATAATAGTGCTTAGGCACCACCCAATCTCTTAAGATCTTGTAAAATGTAACTTTTGATAAGACATATCTTCTAAAACGTTTTTCTTGCTATTAATGTAACACTCCCTTTCTGCTAATCAAAAGTTCTAAATTATGTTACTAATTAAGGCCGTTTCGGCTCTTAAAGTGACTTCATCACTCGTGGCATTCAGCTACCTTTACTTTCGGAAGAATAGTTGGATTTGCACCTCGATTGTAATTAGATGAGGGGAAATGTCCATTTTGTAAGATGCACATCGAAGAGTTGAAAAGAAACAGTAGTCGGCAAATCCAAACATCTGAGCAATAAAATCGTTTGGCCTAACCTAACTACAGACTTGGTAGATTTTCGAAACTGAATACACCAGTGGAACCTAAACATGATTACGCCAATGATCCTTATTAGCGTCGGTTCTAACTGGATTCCATAAATTGGTCAGCTTACCCCCTTAATCCTGAAAATGCCCCTGTTTACCATAAGTGAAAAATAATGAAATGTTATTCTCAATGCCGTGCTTTGAATAAAAGTTACGCCACACCACTATGAGTACATGTAGAAGGTTTACCAGAAGTCACTGTGACTCCCATACTTGAGTCGTCCGCGCGTAGGCCACAAAATCAAAGAAACACCAAAAATGACTTCAAGTTGCTGCCTAGAGACCGGTAACCGTGGCTGTGAATTTGTTACTCGAGTCAATTCAATGCTTGGTAGTAACTTGTCAAATTTGAGTGGTTATTGGCACCCGATACTTTACCCACACTAATGCTCCATTAAAACAAATTTTCTTTTATTAGCGGTACCTTTTTAAATATGTACAAATGATAGCAATGAAAGTATGCAGTAACTCGTGGAAAGCACGTGCATCGCCAAAACTGTCTGCGTGGATGGAGTTACGCCGTGTGTGTGCATTCGCAGCTGTAGGTGGTGGTTTGTTCGGGACAGTTTGAGAGACGATAGTGGACACTGCGTCCCTGAATGGGATGTCGCGCCGAAAGACAATGTGTGTGTGTGTATGGGTGTGCTTCAATTGTGTTAGCAGGCTTTGGGGGAGAAACGCGGATTCGTGGGACCGTCAAGGAACGAGCGCATTCTGTACGCGGCCACGCGCGGGTCGAATTCGAAGGTGTTTCGAGCAAATATAAGGCGAATGTCCGTATGCAGATACAGATTACTAGACTTGGTGGTGTGAAATCTGCAATGGGTACAGGAATTACACAATCTAGTGAGTTATGGTGGGGAAATTAATTAGCCTAAGTTTGTCGCTATCTGCCTTAACTGTAAAAGTTCTGATGGACACCGCACATTAGAAAATATTAAAGAAGTAAACCATGACGATTCACCGATAAAGGCTAATTTGGGGTGGAGGAAATATTATCACCGCCACTCACCGTAAGTGGACGAGATACCTCAGGAAAACAGGCAGTGATTCACCACCAGTACCGACAGCTGGGAGTTTGAGGCGTTGTGGCTCACTGATCTTCCCATTGAATACACAAGACACCAGATCTGAGGGGAGCTTTGCAGATTCGCTCTCCACTGAGGTGCGTTCACTTGGGGAGACGGGCATGTAGACGGTTCTCTGACGAAGAAAGGTCTGGCTGTTGGGAGGCATATCCTCCAAATTGTACTGGATCACGAACACCTTCATTACACAATCTGACGGGTTAAAGAGCGTCAGCTGAAGATACGAAAAAAGACTCATCAATGCGGTAAAAGCTTTGCAAGCCAATTCAATCAACGCAGATGTTTACACAACTATAAGCAAACCTGTATGGAGCCCTTTCGAGGGACGTGATAGCCACGTTTGTTGGAGAGACCGGTGAGGTCGACGTGACCGAGATAGGGCGAGGGGGTTTTGTCGTCGTCTGATAGCTGAAAAAAGTAGGCCACCACAGGCAGTTTTACGTGGGGCGGGAAGAATGAGCCGCTAGCCCCAATCTCCAGTGTGAAACCATCCACCATGCCAGCCGGAGGGATTCGACCATTTAGCATGCTCTCCTAAACGCAAGCAACTTCACTTTTACCAGGAGATTGATGCAATTTTAAAAAAAGCAGATAATATGGAAGCATGTGTTATATGCCACGAACTATGCATTGCTATCCCCAACATTAAAAGTTTTATTTGTAGTAACAATAACTGAGAGGAGCTTTTCAGCACTGTTCAAAAACACACAACGCAAAACGCGACCAATTAGCCAGAATAAAAGTGTAATACAAAAGAGCAAGCACGAAAAACACGACTGACATAGCCTCAACGCGAGCATGAGACCTACAGCTGGGGCAAGAGATTTCAATTTTTCCAACCGCGTTTTGTTGGTGCTTGGCTGTTATATGCAACTGAAAATGAAAGTCATCATTCATTAAGAATGTCGGCTTGTGACAAGTTTGATATTTGGTCCCAGAGGTGATGTGAGAGAGAGGCATACGATAGATGGAGAAGACGTGACTATCGCGCGAGCGGCACAAAAATAGCCAAAGTACAAGCGATAACGACGAAATCGGTTTCTGCCGTCCGGCTGACTCCGGCGGGAACCGTTTGAAAAAAACGGACGTCACTCAATGCAGCTGGAGTGCGCCATGCAACTAAGTCGCCAACCTTGGCCCAGAGGCACGGTTCAAAAGATGCTGGCAGGAGTACTGCATAAGCTAACGCCAAATCGGAAACATCAAAGGGTCACAAATGAGACCGAGTCACTTGCAGTGCGTGGTAGCTGACTCACGCGCACCAACCAGGGTACCTACACGGCATACACGGCAGTGAGTGGGCAGAGGTGTCGAGCGAAATTTTCAGCTCCACAAGATCCCGATTTGTGCATGGTGAGACTGTGAGGGCTCTATTCACGACGCAATGCTCGCATGGGATTTGACAAAAGTTTATCACATCTACGCCACCAAATCATTATGTATGAATGCGGCTATTGAAGAGAATAGACCGGATCGCCGATGGTCAGTGATTCTGTGGAATGAAAACGCCCGACCCCACATCGAAAAATTCCAGCAGGACGGAGAGGGTGGGTGGCTCCGACCCATCCTTCATTCGGTCCAAACTGTGCTCGGTTAGATTAGCACTATATCCACTTGCTTTCAAGCAAAGTGCTCAACGTTATAGCCAAAACCAGAAAGATCTCAACCACTTGCTACACAACTACTTCGCGACTTGATACGGAGAATCACGGAGAATCTATTGGGGATGTCAGCGTTCCCCATGAAAAGTGTCTTCGTGATTTCGCGATTTATAACTGCCATATTTACGCCTCTCATTCTAGACCTCAACTGTCACACCTCTTTTGTCTAACCCTTCGTCTTCGCACGCATTAGTCATTTGGGTGTCAGTCCACTAGGTCAATGTCATACAATGTATGTGGGCGCTGTTCGGTTTTATGTAACTCGAACTCTAGCCGACCGTAAGAGTTCTCTGCATAAGACCCAGACTCGTCCTGGCTTGGAGAGGCGCCCGGTGAAACGTGTTTTGCCTAAGGTGTCAATGCGTAAAAGGTCGTTAACAGGCCAGAAAGAAGCTCGATTACTTGCGCTTGGAAACTTACATTGGTGTATCGGAAACCGTTGCAAAAGCTGAATCAACAAATTAGGGGAATGGTGAAATTTAGTGGTGAGGTTTACGCAAATAACGGAACAAACTTGTGCCTCAGCAGGACACAAATATCTTACAAAATTTTTGAAAGATTGAAGATTAGTAGCATTTCGAAAAGGTGAAACAAATTTCGATTAAAATTCTTTTGAAATAAATCAATGTACCAAGTCTTTCAAAATAGACAAAAAGCTTCCCAAGATGTGACAATCAAAGAAGTGATAAGAGATGCTGACTTAACCCTCCTTAAGATCTGTGATTCAATGGTCTTTTCCGATTTTACTCAAATCATTTTGTATGTGCTTTATGCAATTACACGTATAATTCTGACTTGAGTAAAATCGGAAAAGACCATTGAAGCACAGATCTTAAGGAGGTTTAAGTCAGCGATTAAGATATTCCGTAAACGTTTTCAAAACTGCATCACATTGTAGTGTCCTGACTAGCAATGTGAAATACAAGAGTAGTGTTTTTACGAAGAATGCACAAGCAAAGTGGGATTTCTCCTTAATAGGGAGCATCCAAGTTGCCCTTATTCGGTTTAGCATGACAACGCCGAACACAAGTTTGAGGAGGAGCGAGTTGTGACGGCGACTTAAGAGAAACGCGATCAGCTAACAACAAAACAATACAGATACCCGTAGCCACCAGCGGCTTAGAATGCAGCCGGGTATGTAAACACCCGAACGGCCAACGACATAAAATGAATTGTAAGTTTAAGACAGAGATCACAAGTAAGGTTTATCGAACAAAATTCCGAGTGACTCTGTAGGCTTTTTTTAACTCTTTAAGACAGAGGTGCTGAAACCAAAATCAATAAAGCAACACGAAGCATTAACAGATTTCCTCACCGCTTTGAGGTGCAGCAAAAGAATCAACGTAAGTCATGAGAAAATCAAGATCTAATGGTGTTTTCATGTTTATTAACACCCCAACGTTTCTTTAGGGTCCTTTGGGAGTGCCTCGCTGGCTGCAAAACTATCAAATGTAAATCCAAGCAATGGCTCAATAGCAAAGGCCATCGATGTCGAAAGTGACGCGGTGGTATTGAAAAACAATCAACTCAAGCGTATGTGACTAAGTCCCCGTATAGTTGCTAGACTAGAATGGGAAATCCGCAGTGGGAAGGAATATAAACAATGAAACATATTCTTCGCACTATTATGACATCGCAGAAGAAAGTTACATTAGAAATGGCCGCTTATGTACTTTTACGAACTCAAAAGATATGCACGAAATTTCCAGAAAACCGGAAACGAAAGAGAGGTCTGAAGGAAAGATACCGCTGAAAATCGAACACAACAGTTCCGGCAATCCCCTACATTGTCATTGATTCAAATCAGAATTACCAACATTGAAAAAGCAAAGTTCATTTCATTTCTTGGAATCTTACTTGAACCGTACAATAACGGTCAAAGTATGATCGCCCTCTAGGGGTTATTCCAATGCCAAATCACATTTCAAAATATCTCAGCTATTCGAGAGAAATAAACACACAAAGTACTGGCAAAAGGTCAATTGTCGGAAGCTGGCAATAAAGAAAACAGGTCAACCTCGCTAAGACATTAATATTAGGGCAATATAATTTACGCAAACATAAGAACGGATTGCTTTTGTGTAAGGAAACTTTAAGACGCCTTTTTGGTGACGTTCTAATCCAATAGTACTTAAAAAAACAATTTCCTAGTTTCTTTACGTCCTTCAGTTGCTTCTTTTCTTTATCAGACATCTCGTTACTTAAATGTCTTCGAATTCAGAAAAAGTTGAGTACAATTTGATGTTTTTGAGTTTCGCGTTTTCGGAGTGCTAGTTTCTTAAAAATCTAGATTATTATGTGAAATTCTGGCAAATTCTTAAATGTCCTATTCAGGCAGTTATTTGCGGTAATAAGGGCACAGATGACCTTTGTAATTTGAACAATACGATTACCCACAGTCACACTCGTGAAAAATCAGCTACTAGTTCCCCAGGAATTATTTTGGATATTATTTCACGAATTGCGCAAACAGATTCGTTTCCAGAAAAAAACACGACTGGATAGTGATGTTGGAACGTTCAGGGTTGAAAGTAGATCACAAGGCCCAGAATGAAATTTTCAACAAGGTAAAATTCCTATATACTGAATTTTACGGCTGTAATGTGTGAAAAGCCCAACAGTTTGTGCATGGAGTTGAAAAGTTTAAAAATCCAAAGGTTAACAAAACACGTGTTACCAGATTTGGATATCAATCAATCAAATTGGCTGATAAGAGAAACTTACTAGACCATCTTTAAACAATATTTAACAGTCCAGAATTCATAAAGTGTTTAATAAGACGCACGGATAACATGTTTAGCGATAAGACTGAGGGATGATAGAAACTCCGGTAAATTAAAATCCATGGCAAGCACAAGGCAAATGACCATGTAAGAAACGACGGAAGTTAAACCGCAGTAGGAATCTGCGCTGCATACTTACTAGATTTTAACAAGGGGCACTGAGGTCGGGTGACTATTTCTCATCAATCACCTTAGCGACAAAAATTAAATTCTGCATTGGCCACACACATCCAGTCCCACCACAAGAATATTGATGCTCTTTGTACTGGATTGCGCCATTTAATGTTCTCCAAGAACATTAAATGAATTGACGAGGAGAAAATTCTGGTGCCCAGCGAACGAGGGCACAGTGGTGGCTTTGCTCTAAACCAACCTTCAGCTTTAGATACTTGCCTCAAAATTAATGAGCAATTGCTGTGAACTGGATGAGGGTGAGGGGGTGCCGGGTAGCATCCCATTGGAGCCCCAGAAGCCTCCTGGTACAGAGTGGAACCACGAGGGCGAAGTGGTAGCGAAAGGGCAATACGAGGACGAGGAGGGGCTGCTGGCAGCGGTGCTCTCGCGCTTCGATGGTCGACCCTTCAATGCGAGAGTCGTTGGTCGTGGTGTTGAAGATGCAGAGCTTCCAGGTCTGTGTTTGGAACAAAAATGACAGCGATTAGGGGTTTGCTTCGTTGGAAAATAAATAGTGCTGATCTAAGTTCCATCGCATTTACTGATCTATGCAGGAAGAAGATTGCGCGCATCAGCTCAATCCCTTTACGAAACGACAAGATGAAACTGTTGATGACTCCATGTGACGAACGGCGTGTGATCAATGAACCGTGGGAAGTAAATCGGAACATTTTTGCTCACTGTGTTTAATAAACAACGTGAAGAACATCACTTCCCAAAACACAAGCATCACTTTCCCTGGTCCATTTGTAGCAACAAAAAAATGATGCAGGACAACTACAAGCTCGTGGTGGCACTTGAAGCAGTAAAATGAACAGCATAAGGTTACGTTCAACAAAGGTTTAATAAATTGGTGAGTGCGTAAAATTAGACAGATAGTCCAGAAAATTGTGGTCACAGCATTGATGCTGGTTTACAATTGACCCTAAAAGTGTAATGGTGATCTTCGAAAAACGGTTATATTAGAAATAGTGGCACTTGAGAAAGATTAATGAGTTTCTAAAAAAAACTAGGACCTATGGTCCACTTGTTGCAAAATGACGATTAACCATTTATGCCTAAAAGGGGCCGGGTTGAATAAATGCTGGAAATAAAATTAAATACAAATTAGCTCTAAAGTAAACAGGCACATACACTCTTGTAACAAGATGGAAATTTCGGAGAAGAGAATATAAGAAGCATGTTTTTGGACAATTTAGTGAATAAAATAATCCCCAATTGAACATCAAACTAAAGCGAAAAACCCGACTTGCACGATATTGCTGATTAAATGTCCTTTCACAAAATACCCCCAAGCTTAAGAGAATTGCATTCAACTTGGAAGCATAGAAACAAGACTTGCTTCGCTATGGTTCACCCGAAAAAAAAGAAAAAAAAACAAGTTTCGGAATTCCGGTTGACAACTAGGTTAATTCACTTGCTTTTTGCCAGGAGACGAATTTGCCATGGAGTCGTCGTAGTCAAAACTAGTAGAGTCCTGTCTTTTAATTGGTACCTAAAATAAGGTATTAGCTTCAGCACAAAATAAACATTTAAAAAATATGCTCGTCGTCAATCTGTAGTTGAGAAGCACGCAGCGTAATTTGTGGCTTGTAAATACATAGGGCTGCAATAAGCAGCAATATAAATTTGCACATAACAACCTTTCAATGTTTGCACGACAAAGATCGATAAAGTGGCCAAAGGCAAAGCATGTGAAGGCTTACTGGTGAGGACTGTAGCGGCAGCCTCGTTCGTGGATTGAAGTGCGCAGACGTCGAAAAAGGAAACTCTGCAAAGGCATTCGTGCATTTGGATTCCTGATATTTCTGGAGACGTTGTGTCCTAACGTCATTTCGTTCTTTTTTGGTATCTTGGGAAGTAAATCTCATTGCGCATGTTTGGTTCTGCATACTTAGTGAGGTGAACTCACTTATACAGTCATCTACACAGAGTCCCGCTCCCTGATGCAATCGCTTTTGTTTGCAGGGTGGTGACTCAATTAAAGACGTAGCCTTATTCCAGAGGGACATTATCACAACAGGACTTTTGGGAAATTTATTTTCCCAGGAATTGTCAATAGATTTGCGACCAATACCAGTATGAGGTACAACTTCGTGCATTCGTTTATTCGGCAGGCTCATAGTACCATTGTATAGGTAACGCAGTGAACTTAAATTTAGCTCAGTAGGAGCTGTTGTGGGAACTTCCAAAATCGAGGTCACTGAAATATCGAGGAATTCTTCACTGCTGGCGCTGATGCGACTGAAAGTTCGAGAGGTACAAATTTCAGCGGTGTCTTGTCGGTGTGTGTGTGAACATGGACTGCTACACAAGTAGGTTCGTTTGGGACGTTTCATGCGTGTTGTAGTGTGAACATCATCAGGGAGAGAGAGAGCATCATAGAAATCTCGAATGAGGTAGAATCCAAAGTCCGTCGAAATGAAGTGTGATTTTTTGTCGTCAAGCTCACTAGCGTTCAGAGAGAACCAGCAAGATGAAAAAACGTTTGCATCCCTAAGATTTGTCAGCCTATAATAAAAGGAAACAACATAAACAAAAAGAAGCACATAAATAAATGTTTAGATCGTAAATGTGGTCGGGAAAATCATTTAGCCTCTTTACAAAGAGGTTAAGCAAGGACTCAGCTACAATGTAGACAGTAAAAATTCAATACATAAATCCAGCTTACCTACAAACACAGCGCAGACTCTTTGCCTTGGAAGCAACTCTGCAACTCTTATCTCCGAAAATAATCTTGTTTAATATTGACATCGCACAATGCAGGCTTATTTCGGACGACAAAGTTGATAAATCTACGTAAGTGCCGGTAATCAATCTAGAAAATTAATAGGCTTTATTTCATCAACCACAATAAAAAAGTCTTGGCCACAATTTCAATCTTAGTGTGTTGACTAAATATACAGAGAAAAAATATTTTCACTCCTCAGATTTAATTGCTTGGGAAATAAGGTGGCAGTGGTAAATATAACTAAATAGTGGTAGCAGAATAAACCAATGAACCTTAACGACTGGCATCTAAAAACAAAGGATCACCGTTTAGGAAGAAACTGGATCATCCACTGCTCTACAAGGAAGGCTGGAATTCGTTTGCAGGCAAGACCCAGGTTATTACTCCCAATTCCAGATGCAGGAAGCAGTAGGAATTCAATTATTATTGGGTGGCCCATATACCCAAAATCTTTGAGTTCCGATTCAAAAGTGACCGTCTTCGAGTCCTAAAATAATTCAAATGAAGATCAAGGGGAAATATTTGAATAAATACTTCAGATGAAACAATTGAAGGAATGGAACCGACTCTTTCGCTGCGAGGAACATCGGCATTGTAAATAGACTCGGTCATGGTTTCTTCGATACCTCGTCGAAATATATGCTGACAAACAGTTGCACATATTTTGCATGAAATATCATAATCTTTAGCACAACCCCTTTCTCCAAGGTACGTCCCCAATGATGCAAATCCGTTTTCGATATTCATTTGATTGATTGAACTGATCAAATTATTATTGAGAAATTAAAACTAGTCAACTCTAAACCTTTCAGCAATGCATTATTTTAAATTTCAAAAAAAGTACCGGTATACAGTGAGTGAAATTCTTTCATTTATATCGTAAGTGAATCAGGTGACCGAAACAACAGGCTAACAGCTGATCGCACTAACAAATTTGACCTCCTTTAATAGGACGTTAAAACAAATGTTTACTAGAGTTAAGTTAAACACACAAGCCATAGATTACTAAAAAATTATCTAAACGCTTTGTTCACACTTCAAAATTTTTCAAAGCACTTATTTGCTCTAATGCAAGGCTCGGGCAAAACATTAGTTAATTAGTTGTTGGATTAAATCGGAACTCTCAGACAGCATGCAACACAATTAGAGGATAAATGAACTGCAAGCCCCATCATTAGCTAAAACTACAAAAGTGCGTTATGATGTCATTGTACAAATACACCCTACGGGCACATATGGCAAATGAAGTAGCAATTAACTAACCATGATTATAATTCTAGAAAATCTGACACGTAAAGTACTGTGATCCGCTTGGGGACATGCGCCATGTCAATGTCTAGAAACAGCACTTACGTGATTTCTACAGAAAACTAAGTAACAAGTCTTTTTAGTATCGGCAGTCTCGCCCCAGAGTAAGAAAAAAACGGAAACCCACCTGCAATAGTAGTTCGATTCAAGGTAACCATTGAGTTAGACTTTGTTTAGAGAGTAATAGCTTTAGATAATCACCCAAAATGCACAGTCTAAATATGTTAGCAGATGCGTCAGCATTCCCTAGTCCAAATAGTCCATCATTTCGACGATGAGCCAGGTACCAAAGTGTCGTCGGTTATCATTCTCGAGCATGACGTCACCTCGATTTGTCACTGCCAGTTGCGAATTAGAGCACTGTTGAATCTAGACGTGCACAACAAAATCAGACAGACGTGGTCTAATGCGGAATCAATGCCTCATGCTGGATAACTGGGCCAATACTCGCGCACATTGATAGGACGTTTCAGGCGAAGATAGCTTTCGGCGTGGGAAGCAGTGGTTCCCTTATTAGCAGCCGTGGGGCAGCAGTGCCAGTTCATAATCGAACTGCAACTGACTATACACAGAACCTCATTTCCAAAGGAAGGTTGGTGTGGAACAAACACGCACCTGCTCGTCATATCGAATTCTACTCCTCCACATGCCATCGCCCTGATGCTACGCACTGGATCTCCAATTCTTCGATGGAGTTCCTTGTGGTCAGCTTCAATCTCAGCATACACAATAGCCCTGCGTTAACATGGGATTGTTACGTGCCTTTGCTTGCATGTGAGACTGAGAGTGCATCATTACGTCGTGAAATGTTCACTCAACTTGCCTCAATTTCCTTACTCCCAGTGTCTAGCACGCCTTCACATCCAACCGAATGATTGGTTGAGTCACCAGTCTCCCCACTAATCACTCTGTTCCACGTACAACTGCAACGCCCGCTAACGCGCCATCGACAGTTCTTTGTGAACAAGTACTAACCACGAAGGTGGACAACCCGAACCAAAGCCACACCTCTGCCATCTCTACGAATATGGATGTTTATTGAAGGAAACAATAGGTTGTGAAGAGGGACAAGGTATACACATAGTTGTTCTAATGTTTACAAGAGCAGATACGAAGGCAGATAAAATCCCAATCAGACATCAGTGGACTTCCTTATTTTTATTTTAAAGTTACTCACTGCTGGCGTCTTCTGAAGAAAGCAAAAAAAAAACAGATTAAACACCCTGTGACGCAGTGCAGCAAGTGAGTGTGGACTCGATTCTTACCTTTGGCACATTCTCCGGACCCTGACATATAACGTAACGCTGAGGAGCTGAGTCTTTTAGACTTTGCTCGGGACTTTCGTGATCCTTTATTCGAACGAATTTCACTTGATAGAAGAAGAAGACGTTAAATTTATATCCGGGACATAGTGACAAACTCACCACGGGAATTCGTGGCAAGACAAACTAGTGTCATTGAGACACCTAGGTGGATCAATGTTTTGGTAATATGTGAAATTCACCATTTTGAATTTGTGACAACGCGTTCGGCAAAGTCGAACCGGATTCATCTTTGAATATAATTTGTCTAGAACGTCAGCTGGATCACAATATGTGCACTTTTGATAGGCCTAGACTTTGCTCGGTGATAACAGGCCGAAACTTTGTTGGTTTTTTTCTGAAGATTTAATTGGTGTCGGTTCTCAGATCTATAAGACGACTTTAGATTTTTTGCATATGGTTTCAATGAAATTGATGCCGACGTGACTTAAGAAATCTTGGCATGCTATTTAGCGTGTAGAAATTTGCAGGGTACTTGAGTTCTTGAGTCATGAAATATTACACAATCTTTAAGCTTGGTTTAAGGAAACTTAAATAATTTACCACATAGGCACAAAAGGGTAGTTGAACTACACTCGATTGTTTAATAGAAACCTAATGCCGATTTTATCACATTGGCTGAATGAAAAGGAACTCTTTCATCGTGTGTATTACTTTTTTATTTACCATTCTATATTCATATTCCGATAACAAAAATTAGACTTTACTTGTTATAGTAGGCGATATGATGGTAAATATCAAGACGAGCGAACACTAAAATAGCAAGCTTGCACAAACCTTGACTACACTGGAAATGATTATTGATTATTTGAAAAATAATCATATATTTGTTTAGTAAAGAGGGTTTTACAGCCTTTCGAGAAAATTGTACATAGCAATGGAGACAAATTATTAAGAAGATCAGCCGGCAACCATTTATAGAAAGCTCTGTATTAAAATATTACATTGTCGTTGTCTTAACTGAATAATTATGTACCAGTTAAGACAGTGAATGCAAACTCAGAAAGAGATGTAATGCAACCTTGTAATTCTCGAAATAGCATAATTTCCTTTCTATGACAATAGCGATTTCTATAACCGTGTGACACGAAAGCGTTAAAACCGATTCAAGGCACGTTCATAGCCATTATTCGACCACTTCTTGGAAATTTTCAGCTTGCATATCTACGCACATCTGCACATAAACATTTGGCATTAAACGCATAAGCAACAGCAAATTTTCATTGGAATACATGAGCAAAAATAATTTTGGTGGGTGGAAATGGAGATGCATTACCGGGATTATTGCACGTGCCACCTACCATCATCATTATTATACGCTGATTTATTCACTAATATCATAGTGACATTTTGTAAGAACATTTATTAAAGTGCTCAAATTTTTTTTGAAGTGAGACGGAACTTTTGATAAGCAAGTGGCGCTGCTGCATTGTACTAAGAGCTAAAAAAATAGTTAAACATTCAGCTTTACATTCCAGTTAAAGGGAGGGGGTTTTTATAACTTGAACGCATTTAAAAGGATACCGTTTTGCTGTAACGGTGAAAAATGATGACAATTTCCCATTCTTTTTCTGTTCCAAATGAAAAGACTTGGAGCTTGAATCATTGGAGGTACCGTAGTTACCGAAACCTCAAGTCGGCCTTATATTACAGGAAATTACGACCGACACACATGACATATTCTAAGTTCTCCCGCGACGACATTATCTATGCGATGTTCGCCTAAGAAACTTCAAAAAAGCAAAACAAAAACAATCCAACAGTCGCACTACGAGTGATCTAGAGGATAACGAGGCAGCCGCTTCCATCACACAACAAATTCACAATCCCACCACCACTAATATATTCCTTAAAAGTCGTTTTTTTAAGTAGGATGTTACAGATGTTTTCTGTTTGAGAAATTCCTTCAAACTCTTAATTGCATAGAAAAACAAAGTGAGAAGACGAGATGGACTTACATCGTAAGGAATACCTATAGAGCAGCCATATGTAAAGGAGTAAAATACTACGTAGTGGCTTTATAATTTACACCGCACTTGGAACCATTTGGTCTTCAATTATAAGTGCGCTTGGTTCCCCGGAAGTTCGTGGCAAAAGTAGGAACATTACGTTTGAACAGAGACTACGACCTTTAGTTATGGTATGACCTAGAATTCGGCAAACGGCTACGTCAAGCGTCCTCTTAAAATTATTCAATTTGATTGAAGGGTCATATTTTCTAGAAGCACCTACCACGCGGATAAAAAAAGCCCTCGAGTACTCTTACCACACATAAGCTCTTATTTACTTAAAGCGGTTACCGATTTCATGTGTGTACTTGGTATGGAAAGTCAGATCGAGTGGAGCGTTAGTGACAATGTGGGTGATGCAAGCGATTGAATTAAAACTAATTAAGTCGCATTGATGCATACACAAGAGGACGGCCCTGTGAAAGAAATTCTTTTAAAAAAGCGTGAGTGAACGCAACAACCGGGACGATAACAATGAAACCTAATCCCAAATTACATAGTTACAGCACTGAGTAGAGCGTATTCACAGTGGGCAATCGCTACTATTACTGATGTAAAAATGAGAACACAATCAAGATAAGATTTCCCATAAAAAGGATAGCTGGTGCCAACGAGAAACTGAAAACATCGACAGTGATGGAAGTTAAGATTACTTAGCAAAATACACAAAAGGAGTACACGACAAATTAAGGTGATTCATTTCACGTCCCTGGTTAAATAAACGGGCCTTCGAAAATGAGGTTGGCACTCCTGTTGGAATCCTTCACAGCGCACTAGACACCAACGTTGGGTTTTTCTAAGTGGATTTTCGGTGCTTAGAACGCTCCTGTCGCAATGGGGCGAGTTGGCGCCACTGCCTGGAGTTGGAACATGCAATGATCGCAATAAACTTTATTGATTTGAAAGACCCACCCAAAAATTTAGCAGGCCAAGTTGAACACCTCACTTGATTTTGAAACAGTGAAGAGGATGCGGTCGACGGAAAAGCGAATTATTTTCGGGGACGGTTGGCCTTGCGTGGGGGCTTCGTGAGAAGAAATGAAAGTGGACGAGTAGTCAGAAAATCTTTTAAAATGAAAGTAGAAGGGAAGAGCAAGCAACGCAAAGTGCAATGAAAGTGGATGGAGGAGGCGACCAGTCGCTACAGGGCACCATATATACACACATAGCCAATTGTGCAATTTACAACGGAAGACCCAGATAAGTTGCAGCGTGTGTGTGTGGTTGAGGTGCCAAAAGAAAGCTAGTGTCAAAGTGGGAACCGTAAAAAAATTAAGATGGAGTAGAGGTAATGTCGTTGCGAATTTCTGTACAGCGTGCAAGGAAAGGTCTAAGGTGGAGCGTTGGATGGAAATAAATGGGCGTAGTCGCATCGTATCACATGACGGAGCACTTGCCATCTTTTCCGTTGCCGCCATTGGAGACCTGATGATGAGAGTGATGGTGGTGATGTGACTTAGAACGGGCAAAACTTGCTGTCGATGAGTTTCCACTGGCAGCGCTGCACGAATCTTGATTGGTTGGAGTAGTGAGGTTGCCAGAGGATGGATGGCCATTTGGGACGTTAGGTTCACCGCTGCGTGTTATGAGGAGGTTGGGATAAGAGCAGGGCTTCGTGTCAGCCAGCCTGCGCGGGCCATTCTTTGCGGTGGAAGGCGAGAGCGTGGCTGTAGGCGACGTAGGACTTGGTGGTGGGGGCTTGGCGGCGGGAGCGGGGACGTTTCGGGATGGACCTCCACCACCACCGCCGCCGCCCGCCGTACGGATCGCCTGGGCCCCAGGTATGTTGTCCTCGTCCTCGTCTTCGCACAAGCGGCTAAGGCCGCTGCCGACGCCATTCAGTGTTTGAATCGGTCGAGTAGGGCTGGCGAAATCGCGCAAATCCACACCGCATAATTCTGAAGCTGGCGGAGTATCGAAATCCATCTGTTCATTCGGGGGCACCTCAGGAACTTGCGCCAGCGAAGAAGTCACAATACTTCCAGGCGCCGGAGAAGCACCCAGTCCACGGTACAAACGACTGCAAGGTAACAAAATCTTGAACATTAGACTATGAAATAAAAATAAAGGTTGTGTCCAACAACACGGGAGAGTTAATTTAAAGAGAATTTGAAGTAAAAATGGAGAGATCCTTGACTTTAACCACCAATGCCCAGCACCACATTCAAGTGTCAAACGAGAAAAACCCATGAGTGAACTATGTCCAAGGAAGCAAGTAAACAGACAATTACTACAACTAATGAATCAAAAGTTGCTGTTTGGATACGGAAAAAATTACCAGAAATTAAGAAACACACAAAACACAATGAAAGGTAAATACAATATTTAAAATTTTGCCTCCTAAACTTGGTCTACGTCTAGGGGGCACGTTCGGAGAATCAAGGAGTACGGCATGCAATTTTCAGGCAAATGGAGACTAAGGAGTCGAAGCATTAAGATGCCGTCTAAACAAAAGGTCTTTAAGACAAGAATACCAACCTCCTCGGACCGGAACGAAGACGGGAGAGGTCGGGAATGATTGCCCGAGGCGGTTCAACTACGCTTGAAGCAACGAAAGAGAAGCCCTGCAAATACAAAATGAACGCGTGGTTATGATGCAGCACTTTGTTTGGAGGCAGGGGCCTTGGACACACTTGGAGTTGAAAATAAACAGGAACAATGTGGTTAACAGCAGAGCAGCACAAGTCTACAAGCGAAAATGTGCATGTATTAGCAAATAAACATGTCTAGGGTGGAGGCTAGCTGTACAATATGGTCGGGTCACCTTTACCTAAAATTTTATGTCAAGTTCGTACATACAAAAACATAGAGTAATTAGGAAAATATTTCACAATTACTTTGACCTAGTTTGAGTGTTTACGCGCCAAATAAAAAAAAAACAGCACACAACCCTGGAAAGCAACGATCACATCATATACGTATCTTCAGCATTTTGCACTTTTTGAAGAGCACATGGCAATGTTCGGCCTAGAATGTCCCCAAAGCCTATGGCTGTCAAACAGACACGAGTAAAGATGAATACGCCACAGCTCTCCCCCTTGGTAAAAGAGCTTGGCGAATATTTTCTTCCAACAGGAATTTCAAAGGGTAGGTCGTAAGTATTGCGCAGTCAACTCGCAGTGTCCTAAAAAAAGTTTGAGATTCGGGAAACAAAGCGAGTTGAGCGAAATTGAAACGAAAATGCGGTAAACTAAGCGAGATTCGAAAATCGAGGTTGATCGAGTTTGAGGCAGACGATGGCCAGGATATGAGAACAAGGGGAGTCAGACAGGGTAACGATCAGGTCAATGAACGCGCCAGCCACAACGTGTAATGGTAATCATTTTCTTTTGTTCGAGATGAATAGCTGTTGGCGACGCAACATTTTCTACAAGATGGATATCTGGAAGATTGTGCATGATGCCGAATCGCAAGATCGTTGAAGTTGTTCGAGAGTAGAGAACCAGACCGAGAATGGATCGAAAGGACTTGCCAAGCAAGCGTCGAAAGTCGAGATCGTTGAGCAGAGAGATGCGGCCAGAATAAGAAAACGGGAGTCGAGTGATGAGGCTGGGATGATTGGTTGTCGCCGGGATGTGTTTTAGGAATCGATGTTCATCATCAAGAAGTTATGCGGCGTCCGGAGATTTGGCGTCGTCAGGAGAATAGTAGGGTGCGGGAGATCCGGGGGCGTCCGACGATGATTGGGGCCAAAGACGTTACGCGATAAAGTTAGGCGAAAGTTGAAGAACGAAACCAGGCTGATACAGGCGAGCGTATAGGGTGAAAGCTAGTTTGAGCGATGGGGCAGAAACAGGACCAAAAGTCGGACGATGTAGAAGTGTAGCGGTCACACGTTAAGATTCGAAGGATGGCAGAATTGCTTGAGGGGTGAGTTTTCTGTGAGACGCAATACGCAGAATAACCGCGCCACTTGAGTGACTAGAAAAGCGTCAATTGCCAGGTCCTAGAAGGTCGATACACGTTCCAATTCGAGGACGCAGTCGTGACAAACGAGTCGAATAAAATCAACGGACCTTTTCATCTACCGAAAGATCAGTTGACAGTGTGATGTGGTTAATTGCATGTTCGCTGTCTCAGGTAGATGAGATTAAAAATTAGGAGTCGAGTCAGTCAGATGTTAAGGAACAAGGCGAGGGTCGGCTGAGATCTGCAGCAAAGCACGCAAGAGTGAATCGGCAGTCGGGTTGAGCTTACTGAATAGTCAATCATGAGCTAGATAAATCGAGTCAGAGTGATTCACATGGACACATACGCAAAACGTTGATTGCTAGCTTGTAGAAGGCCAAACGTGTTTAATAGCGGGGTTACCATTTTCATTGCGGCCCCCAATGCGGTTAGATAACCACAACAGGGCAGACGATCTACACGGACAAGGCCCCACCAAAAAATAAATGGTAAATGCAGATGGCGCGTGGCTCAACTAATTTATCGATGCAGTTGCGGTGTGTGTTTGTACAGGACAACAAGTGCGCTCATATGGCTTCGATAAGCAGCGGTCCTTGCATTCATGTAAACCAATTAAATCGTGTTCGCTTACACTTGCCAACTGTGACCGCTTGCTGCTCGCCACAAAGGCATGTCAGACAACATAACATAAATGTGATTTCCAAAAACATGACCTCAGAACACGTTCAAGTTCACGTACCGTTGCAGTTCAGTTATTAGGACTCTTAGTGAAGCATGTCAAGATAAACTATGGTGCAAATTTCAATGTTTGGAAATTGCTCTTTAGCAGATGACTTGATGGCGGTGATTCTCCAGACCTATATCAGGAATATCCTAATTATTCGCAATTGCACCAGCCACAATCGCACTTGCATGAAATACAGATAATGAAACCATTGAAGTCATTGCAACTAACCGCTTACTCAAAGGCAACTCTTCGGTTCAGGGATGAGGTTTCTGAGCAAGGACAATCTCGAAGTCAACTTGGGACGCAGCATGTGCGAACGGGAGTGAGCGCCAGAAACAGCATTGATCATGTCTTTAATGCGATGAATGGCATTTGAAAATTAGAGGGAACAACACAATCGGATTGGGAAGGTTGACGAAGCGTGGTACGCACAAATGGCAAGAGTTCGAACCGTTTGGAAGTACTTGAAATGCTTAACAGAGAAGTAGGTTGGCAGGTGTTCACAACCAAATGTAAACATGCTCAGTCAGACACTACCAGATACACCAAAAATTCCGACAGTTCAACTTAAGGCAAGTTCTGGCAGCGTTAAACAGGAAAAGACGCAATATGTGGTGAAAATTTACAAGTCGCATTGAACTTATCTGTGATAAAGAGTAACCCAACCACTGAGACCATGAGCCTAGTAAGTGAAATCTCTGATAGGTAAAGTTCAGGCTAATTTAAACATCGAAAGGCGTTGCCGGATTATTGAACGAAGTTCTAGGCACATATTGCAAGACAGCGTCCTTGCTGCAAAAGGGCAAACCAAAGATACGGCCACACGGTGCACACAATCAAAGCAACACCATCGCAATCAAGTTGCGTGTTAATTTGAACGAAAATCACAAAAGCGCACACTTTCAACGATGTGCAAATACAACACAGAATAACTAAACAATAATCACTGTAACATTTCATAATACCACGACTCCAGACAAGATATTTTCAAGGCGTACGCGGCAGCGATGCACGATTGTTTATGAAAAGATGTAAATCCACACTGGAGGGATTTGACGCCATGAGAATATTGGTTACAATACACAGCACGCAGGTAGTCAATATACTGGGGAGCGTTTTGCCAATGTGTTGTAAATGTGGTGTTTTTAATAAAGATGATAACACATTTAGATAGGCTAATGGCCCAATTAAGAACGTTTTGATTGCTTGAAGTCATCAAAAAAACACTGTGCTTCAGGTGCAAGATTACCTTTTTCTCCAATTTCCTAAAAGCCATTAAAATTATGTGGTGACTGGTAAGAAGGAACGATAAGGTTGCAGTTTTTTTAATAACTAAACGCAAAAGCACATTACCGTGACTATCTTCGTTAACGAATATACTTTAATGGGTTTAGAAATGATGCTTTGGAAATCGCTGAGCATTAAATTGTGTGCAAACAAACACTACGAGTGCTTTAGATTTCAAGGCATACTTAGAAGAATGACGTTTCAGCGCCAGAGCCAAACCAAGCGTGACGCAACAGGTGCTCTTGTTTGGCAAGGGCGAAAGCAAACGTGGAGTCACAGTGCGTGTTGCACAGAAGAACCACAACGTAATTTAGGCGCATTGGTTTGCAAGGCCACTGCGTGCCTGTGTGACCGAATGTCGCTGTGATGTGAAACAACCAGCACCCGCGCACTACATCATGTTACGGATGCACACGTGACGTCGACCAATGACGTCAAACTGTCAGCCGAGGATAACTTCATTAATCTCGACAAACTAGGAACGCATATACACTGACCCCCAGGTCCCAGCTGATAGTAAACCGCGTGCTCTGTTTTAGTAATGACAGATCAGCACAGAGCGGTGTAATTGCAATCACTATGCCAGATTTTTGCATTATACGCGTAATGCAATTAACATTCCATTCACTTCCAGGCACTTGACACGAAAAAAATCAAATCACGGAAACCGTGTTTCCTCGGTGGGCAGCAACAAGGCGAACAGGAAGAAAACTACGAAATTGAGACTATTGCTAACCCTTAACAATAGGGGCTAACAGGTGCCAGGTACTTAGAGAGGAAAAAGGTTTACATGAAGAAGGCGATTGTAGAAGTCTTACGTCCCTTAAAGTGCCACATATCGGCAATGTTGAAGGCATTGATAAGCAGAGCATCTTAGTAACAGGATAGGTAAAAAAATTGCTAAAGGGAAAAGGGAAGGCCAAATTGTGGATAGAGCATGTAGTAGACATTTGGTGCCTTGCGAGTTTCGAAAATGCACTAATTCCACGAATTTCCCACGTCCCAGTAAGTCTTCTTTTCTTGAGCCCACGGAAGCACTTCTCAAAGATGACTTTAAAATTAGCAGTGATGCACATTTTATGCATAAGTGAAAATCATGAAAATAATGACTTCAAAAGGAGTCTGGTGTGAGCTGAGTAAACTATTCGAGAACGGGTAAACAAAGAGTTATCTTAGTGAAAACGAAGGCAACACAGCCATAAACGCATATTCCGACGGGGTGAAAGTAAACAAGACAGCGCGACAAGGTGTGAACGACTAAAATGGCAAAATCAATACTCAAGACGGCGACACACGACGATCCACTTTGTGCACTTGTCTGCGTACCTCGAGGCAACGATCCTGCACATGATTCGAAACACCCAAGACTTAAACAACCACGCACCGCGTTTAATCAATGACCGACTTATGAAGCCTCAGAAGTAGTTTCCCGAGACCGCATTTAACGCACCCAATCAAAATCTAGTCGAGATATCGTAGATTCAGCGTACCAAGGCTAGCTACGGTTTGACTTTAGAAGTACAACTTTATTTTTCTGACGATGCATGCGGTCAAAAAAAATAAACTTCCTGTTACTGACAAGATTGAAGCATTCAATTAAGAGAGAGTGGTTATTAAAATTAGGTTACTAAAAGTGAAATGAGTGCTTCACACGAGAACCCTTCCCCAACACACAATTTACACAACGATTTCTTAGAAACGCATGGATTGGATTTGTGAGTTCGCTGCAAGTGCTTTGAAGGTGTTGGATAAGCCGCTTGTGCGTAGATATGCTCCTAACAAGACTTGAACATCGCCAATGGTAACTTATAAAAACACATCCAGCAGCCGATACAATGTTTACGACTAAACCTGGTTGACTTCACCGACAACATTCTAATTTGTAAGCAGATCCGGAGCCAAAGAACTTCTCAGGTAAACACACAGAAAAGGGACCTCTCAATTAAACCTTGAAACAGGTCATTCCTTGAAAAATAGAAATGACTAAAAGCCAGCCTAACGAATACAGTACAAATGCGAAATCGCGATCATGCTTCAAAAGTTATACTAACCCTAAATCATTATGCCTAAATTGCTCCGCTGATTGGTAGAACAGATCTCCTTGTTTGTTGTCAATAACCTGGGAATCCAAAATAAACAGAACCAGGAATAAAGCGTTGGTGGGACCGTCTCATATCAGCAGAGGTTGTTGTCATCAGGACTTTCTTGCTAATCCTCTTGCGGCGCTGGCATGTTAAATGAAAAGTAAGAAGGCAGACGCTGTAGATTGACCTTGATTCTAGGGAAGTAACGCCTTGGGAAATAGATGCGTCTCAGAGCATGGACAACAGACAAACGCTAAACTAATTGAATTTGCTCTCAAAATTAAATCGTTTTATAAGACTAGTGTCGTCTTTAGGTCTACACACTCCCGCAAAATGAAATGTTCAGAAATGCAGAATTCCCAAAGGTTGCATAGTTCCAGAGTTGGCGTCATACCAAAAAAACCTGCTACGTCAGTATGTGCAAAGCGCACAACCTAAGGCCGTTCATCTGAGGAGAAATGCAATCCTAAAATTCGGTGGAAGTATTCCAAGCCTATTAGGTGATAGCGAAGAAGGGCCGTTCCATGCAGGCGGAGAACTGGCATTTTGCGAAGGAGCGTAAGAAGTGGAAATGTCAAATACGTACACGTACGAATTCTAAATACGCTAAGGGTTACGAAATTCTCTGAGAAAACGAGGGGGGAATAGGAAGCAAAAAAATAAATGGCTTCACGGCATCATGAGATTGTCAAAGCATGGTTACTGTTAGGCATAAATAACATGCAAGTGATACCATGACAGCATAATTTCATCATCCCTCGGAAATACAAACATTTGACTACATTGTGGTATCAGAGTATTGGAGCCATGCTGAGATAATTGTTTAAATGATGGCGCCAGTTTGGTGGAGCGCAATAAGAACACGACAAAACAGTTTCAAGGGACGAAAGGTTGAAAACTACTGGGTGTGAAGAGGCTGGTGAGTAGAAAACTATGGAAAATCTAATAACGTAAACATTGAAAGATAAGACTTCGACTTCTGCTGGTTGAGTGAAGTAAATGGGCCTGCATTTTCTACTGCTAACCTGGTGACGGTTAAAATAAAGCCTGCAAAAACCACAAGGTATTTTGAGACTTAGATGGCTGCGGCATACATTTCAAACAGAAGTAATTTAGGAATGACCAGGAGAGAAGGCAGGCAAGGCAGGCCAGGACGTAGGAGAACATCCACACCAAAGCAAACAAACGTGTTTGCGGTGTGCTGCGTCATGGGTGGAAGAGCGGAGCAGCCCGATTGCTACTTGTGCCCTGTTCACTAGTTTGTGCATGGGGAGATTTGTGTGGTCTGATTTCAAAGCCTCGCTTAGCATACACGCACACACCTCAGGGCGGAAGCAATCACTGCGACACGCAGCATTTTCAGAGATGTAACAATATCAAAGACCACAAACTAACAAACAAAACGATCGCTTAATAGCATGCCCGGAATGCATTAAGAGCGTGAAATTCTGTCGACGCGTCAGCAATAGTTGACGAAAATGTATTATCGACAAAAACGAACGAAGTTGACACACATACATTCGAGAATGTCTGCTGCATGCAACTACAAATTAGCATAAGAATACAAGTCGGATACAAATTAAGCAACCAAAATAAATGTAGGTGAGGTTCTATTGTAATAAGAAGCTTCGCAAGCAGTGGGAAAGCTTGAGCCAAGACTTGGGAATGATTTTTTTTTTCATTTTGAAGTGACGAATTTAGGGAATACCACAATGGTGCAAAAAAAATAAAAGCACAGTTTGTTGTTGCTTCAATAAACAACTCCGGATTAATTTAGAGCAATGGAAAACGACACTTTCAAGTTGCCTATTAAAGGGATTAAAAACACGAAGAGAAATCAACAAATACCCGTGGGACAGGTGGCTAGATAAACCTACCTGGAAGAGGTCGACAGGAATTGTATCGTCGGTGTTGCCTGGGCTGACAATGGGTTTCATTCCAGTGAAACTGGGATCAAACATGGACACATCGGAGTCAGAGGCAAGTTCTGGCTTAAACGGCGGCTCCATTTTTCGGTTGTATACATCATCCCAGTTTACACCCTTTAAAAATAGTTAAACAAATGACCTGTCAAAAACGACACTGTAGGTTAACTAAATGTCTTAATTAATAGGGGCCAATTCGTCTCTTCCCAGAATTTCATAGACAAACTCTTAAAAGCAAAAAAGCAAATAAAAGGCCCATATCACGCATTCTTGTTGCTACGATCAAATCCCGTAGAATCCTACGTCTTTAAAGGGTGGAGAAAAACATGGTAGGTGTGAGAGGCGATCTAAATTAATATCGCTAGCTAAACCGCTTGGACGAAACAAAGGTTAAAAGAGTTTTCCCTGTATTAATAAAGTACCCTTAAAAGTGCATCTGCAATATGATTTAAACACATTTTAACGTGCAGAGAAAAAATTCAGAACACCTTCGATCGTCTATGGTTCCACGCGACAAAAAACCGATGAGTCACTTCAAGCAGGCATGGTGAAGGATCTTGATAAATAACTCCGAGGTTACTCGTGAAATAGCAGAAATTGAAATACCTCAAAACACGATGAAGAATAAACACAAAATTGAACGAGAATTTTAAGTCCGTGTATTCTTATGAGGAATATTTTACAACAGCATATACGATCGGTAATCAGGCTGTACCTTAATATTATGGAAAAAAATTAAGTCACCATGAACAAAAACTATGCAGATTAGAGCCCTTCAATAACCATAATGATTAGCTACATGTAATTTTTATGAACCAGTAGTTTTTAATATCGTGATGTTCAGTGAAATTCATAATAGTCTACAATAAAGGGCGATTTTAAGGACGAACATTCGAATGAATGTACCGAATATTTGTACATATTTGATTATCAAAAATAAGTGTATTTGAATGGCGATCAACAGTGATAGGTAGGTGCGTTCATGACATGTCTCAGTTAGATGATCATGACAATATTTCGTTTACCTTCATTTACACTGGAGAGGTTTTAATTGCAATCATTAGTAAAAACTAGGTGAGGCAGAATGTCAACATTACTTGGCCCTTGCAAATTATATGTCTTAACTTAACTTGACTATATGTAGATATGTACAGTCTTGTAAAGCAACAGAGCCAATTGGAACACATTACTTCATTTGTTTAAATCCATGATAAACCTTACACAAATACACAGCAAGTAGACACGTATATACAAAAACAGGTTACTGAATCCAAATTTTTACGCAAAATTCAAAATACCATAAGACCGAAGTAAGTGCTTTAAAAGTTTTGGAAGAAGACATAAAAAGTATTCATTTTACATTAATCGACATTTGCAAGCTTCAAGGCGTGGTAATCTGGGAAATTAACAAACAGCCTAGTTCTCTAAACCGTACATGGTCTAACTACTAGCTTTTAGTAACACAACATTATTTTATTAAAAACGCAAGAATTTAATCGGTATTCAGGTTATGACCGAGAGTGTAGAAGATAAGAAAAAGTCTGTTTGCTTCATCGAAATAATCCAAAAACAACTAGCAGTTAAGGGAATGAAATAGTTCCACTTTTTTAACATGGTTACGGATAACTGTATCCTGTGAATTTCTTCTGATTAAAGAGAAGCATTCCACGTATTATGCGAGGTAAAAAATTAAACCTGAAAGATTAGCGATAAATCAATAGATGACTAAGAATAATGGAAAGTGTCAAATTATTTGGATGATAAAATGACAATGAGCAGATTAGGAAACCCACACGTTGAACGAAGAACGAATGTTGTTTTATATCCTCCACGTCGTTTTTCGTCCCAAGTCTTTCCTTCGGATCTTTTTTAAGCAAACCGCGAATAAGGTGAATGGCTTCTGTCGAGAAAGAAGGAGGAAATTTAACCTGGCTTTTCAGAATCTACAAAAATAGAATAACGCTAAAAAACCAAACTTTTTCTGCGGTGGCTTTTTTGTTTCCCTCTTGGCTAAAAGGAGGCTACACAAATAAATTTGTTAGCAGACGAGTTAAACCTTACGCCACCAGAAAGCATGTCGAACAGAAGTGTTCCAAGGCTCCACCAGTCAACCGCCCTACCGTGTCCGGCACAGCGAATAATTTCAGGGGCCCTAAGAAAAGTCAAAAACGAGGTCGAAATCATTACATATACTCAATTGTCCCACAAAATGTATTCGTTGTGCAAACTCCTTCCTTAGATAAACCAAAATCGGTTAGCTTTACATGACCATCCTTGTCAAGAAGAATGTTTTCCGGCTTTAAATCGCGGTAAATAATGCCAAGTGAGTGTAAATGACCGATGGCAAGAGCAATTTCGGATATGTAGAAACACGCGGCATCCTCCATGAGAAAGCATTCTGTCTCCAAATATCTAAATAATTCTCCTCCAGGACAATATTCTAGCACGATATAGAGGTTTGAACGGTTTTGAAAAGCGTAGTGGAGCCTCACTAGAAATGGGTGCTAAGGAATGCAAAGTAAAGTTGAAAAAAATTAAACCTTGAGCATTTGCAAGATATTTCTTTCAGAGAGGGTATGCATAGTATTCTTTTCGTTACGGATAAGTTTGGCTTTTTTCAGAACCTTCATGGCATAAAACTTGTCCTTATCAGGGCTTTTGGTAGCTTTTTGAACGAGATAGACCTTTGAAAATTTAAAATCAATACAAAATTTACCGTTCCATAGCCCCCTTTTCCGATAACTTTTAGTACCTGAAAATCCTCAGCATTAACTTTTTTGTGGGGGTTAACGGTCTCGCCGCAGATTTCCAAAACCTCTGTCCCAGGTCTATTTCTAAGCCAAAAAGAAACTTCAAAAAATTACTGTAGCGCTTCAGAATAGTTGTTAATATGCTCTTCGATCTAGGAAAAGTAAAGGACCAAAAAACTTGTTACCTCCTTCATTTTTGGAATGTGCTCATCTGCTTGTGCGGACTCATTAGAACTATCCTCTTCATTCGCCTCATATTGACCAGAGGTCTCATTGTCAGGATCAACTGACATAAATGCAATCTCAGCCATCCCCGATCTCAACGTCAGAGCGTCAAAGAAATACGCATATCCAAAAGGAGTCGGACAGACGCCAAAGGTAGGCAACAACTAAAACAATTAAGACAAATAAAAAGTCGTATTTCAGATCCAATTCTTTGTGCCTCCTGACTTTTTATTTTAAGAAATATTTCGACTTACTCCTGCGTCAATTTAATGACTTCGATCACTAACAAATATTCCGGTAAATAATGTTTGTTGACGTTATAATTACGAGAGATTCCAAAGTCCTCAATCAAACTAAAAATCACCCATTGCTCCATCTGAACACACCTTAATAGTAAACATAGATAAATATGATCAATTATATTTTTTTATCATATAATTCGTTTGATGTATCTAAAATAAATCAAACTCGAAATAAATATAAACCAAACTAATTAAAAAAACTTTTACTGAGGATCCGTACCAAAAAATGAAAATGTCACTAAGATTTCAAAACCTAAACTAATTGTTAAGTTGGACTTAGTATTTACAAGTTCTTAAAAAATTCGCATTTTTTGTTACGTAATTCTTTAATTTTGTGGAGTTAAAGAAACATTAATGCTCATAAATATGATTCAATTAAAAAAAAATACACGCAAACAAATGCTGATTTCTTGCTTTAAATGGAGTGCCTTTATCTAAACGCAACAAATCGTCAGTTTATATTAAAAATTTTGAATTATATTAATCTCTGAACAAACATAGCTACATGACGTGCATTCAAGATATTTGATTCAATCGAGTTCGTTCAAGCTGGATGACGTCGGCTGTTCGCTCCTTACTACAATAAATTGGTAAACATATCCCTGTACTTAAGATGTCGAAATAAAAAATAATCTTTTTAAAATTTTTTTAGCGTGTTTAAGAAGCAAATCGAAGCTTTATTGCTTACTTTCACTCGACTGTAATTTTCGCTAACCTCGCAGTCAGAAAAAATGCTTATTTTGTGTTCTGTAGTGTTAAAATTAAATATTATAACATGGCGAATGCTTTTGCGTAAACAGATTGCTTTATTAATAAAAAATGGCAAAATTGACGCCAGTAAATTCGTTTGTTTTTTCGTGTCAATTAAAAACTGTAGGCGGTCTATATGCCGCTGCTGAAGAACAGGTGTTGTGAGTATTTCGCAAATCATAATTTTAGTTGTTTATAGTCTAGCTCTTAGAATAAGTAACATTTAAGCCTTATTTTTAAAGGCATTCAGAATGGCATCAGCCTACATTCGTCTCGGGATTTATGAATATAACCCTGCTGATATTTTGGGCAGTGGCGCTTTTGCAATAGTGTATAAAGGCCGGTTCCGTGATGTAAGTGATTGGTAAATAATCTGTTCCATATAGAACAAAAGTCAAAATGTTGCTATAAAACAGATGATAAAGGGGCAGAATGTTCTGAAGTCAAAAACTCTTCTTAGCAAGGAGATTTCTGTTCTGAAGGTTCGTCGTACTATCACCATTCTACGTTTAGGACTTGAATCATGAACATATAGTTCGTTTATATGACCACAATGTAAGTTTACTGTCATGACTCTGATTACGTTTTGTAGATATCAAATTCTGATGTTTATCTTGTCATGGAATTTTGTAACGGTGGAGATTTGTCGGAATACCTCCATTGTAAATGTTTTCGATGTTGACGACTCTCTTTAGGTAAAAAAACTTTACCAGAAGAAACAATACGTCATTTCCTTATTCAAATTGGCTCTGCTATGCATGCAATGAATATAAGAGCTGTTATGCATCGTGATTTGAAGCCTGGTAACATTCTGCTGAGTTACTATGGCGAATATGCTTCGGTGAATGACGTTCCAGGCCCACTAATTACGTTTAAACTTGGTAACTTTCTTTCTTCGTCTTTATTTGCTCTTGTTATTCAAGTAAAAGAACTTATTTCCTGTAAATAATCACTATTTTATCAACATCTAGGCGAAAATCAGTACAGTAGTTGAGATTCCCTTCAACAGATGCTGCATTTTTTTTTAAATTTGTGACACCGTTAGCATGGGTTAAGTACTGGTGCCGTCCGTTTATGCATCGGTAATATTTATTTTGTGCCCCATTAGCTGTTTTGAAACTGATCTCCCTCCCACATTTGTCAGATGTATTTCCAGGGTTCGTGGGACCAACAACTGTGTTTGTTTACATTTTATATTACGTGTAAATTTACAAGTGATATTGTTTTTTTCCTATAGCTGATTTCGGTTTCGCGAGATTCCTTCAAGATGGAATAATGGCGGAGACCATGTGTGGATCGCCCATGTACATGGTAGTGCTCCATTAGTTGGTATAATGAGCTGTAATAATTTGATATAGGCCTATTATTTTTTTAGGCACCAGAAGTTCTCATGTGTCACAAGTACGACGCAAGGGCTGATATTTGGAGTATGGGTATCATTGTCTACCAGTGTTTTGTCGGGAAGGCACCATTCTACGCCAACAGTCCTGAAGCCTTAAAGAATATTTATCTGAAGACAATTGACTTGAAACCCAGGCGAGTCTATTTTACCAGTAAAAAAAGGTCGAGGTAGTTTGTGCTTTGCATCGTCTTTTATCAGCTCGGTTTTTCGACCAGTGTGCAGGCCGTTCCTATAATTTTAACGCTACCTCTTCATTCTATATCTTATACATTTTCTCGACGTAATATTTGTATCCTACACACGTTTTTACGCTGTTGTGAGCCACGTTGATTCACACTCGTTAATTCGGTCGCTCCACTCGTCCCCTTTTCAAAGCATGCTGGCAGCAGAACGGAACGTCAACTCACACCTCATTATCGCAAACGATCATTTAGGGCTGTTACCACGCATGATAACATTCACCTAGGTCTCGATGTTACCGCATTCATGTTTCACACGTTCATACCTCAGAGCTATAAATTCACACGACAGAACCACGGACACACACCGATAACGACTTGGTCGAACTCTCGGATAGACTGCTGTCTCTCTGTCCCTCTGCTGTTTTAATCCCTGTTGGGCACATAACGCTATTTCGTGCCTCTCCCATTTTACCTACTTTTGTTCACACTATTCCTTTTTGTTTTGTTTTTAGACCGCATCTTTTCTCTATGCTTTTTATTTTTTTTCTGTCCGACACCAACTAATTCGAAATTTTCATACTGATACTGAGGTCTTGTTACAATGTTATTTTTATTGTCTATTAACGCCACTTTAGTGGATCATTTCTCTTCCCAGGATTCCACGTGAAACCAGTCACAATCTGCGCGACTTATTACTAAAAATGCTAATAAGGAAACCGGCTGATCGTATTGATTTCCGTACGTTTAGTCGCATATTTTATATTTGTTTCGATTACAATTTTTCATTTTGCTTTCCGTTTCTTTGCAGCGTCTTTTCTTTCACATCCCTTCCTTACCGAAAAACATATATCGCCGTCGGGTAAGCATCAATCTTCCATGCCCAATAATGTTAAGTCTGTGTATGTCGTGTTTCCTTTAGGCTCCCTCAGTTGTTGGTTAGGGTTTAACGACCCTCGGTTAATGGTATCGTAATTATTTTATCGTTTATTTTTACCAGACCTCGTACCCCACAAACCTGCTAGTGTGCCACCCTTGCCCAGTTCTGTGCGACGACCTCGCGGTTCTCAATCCACCGGGTCTCGCGGTACCACATCAAACCGGGTTTACGCGGCGCCTGCTCTTCCCTCCCGCCGAAAAACCGATGTTGGCGGTAATCGCGGTCGTAGTACCATTGCGGAGCTTATGCCAACCACAGCACGGAACCTGGGGCGTGGTTCGCGCATCGTTCAGCCAACCACTGTTCCACGTCGTGAATCTCCAGCTACCACTGCTCCTCCTCCTCCCCCACTTTCGCCCCCTCTTGGGCTGCCATCCTACTCACCCCCTCTACTAGAAGGTCAAGAAGACTTTTCAGACTCATCTCTTACTCCAACTGATGATGGAAATGAGTATATCGAAGATGGACTTGGGGGAAGCAGTTTTCTTGTCGGAGGTGACCGCGACATAAGGCAGACGCCTTTGTCAACGGAGGGCTTAGGCACTCTCGATCCATGCCTTGCTGACGTGCTTCAAAGACCAAGGTCTTTGGCTGCCAATGCTCAGCTTCCGAGTCAAAGGGTGGCCCTCGATAAGAGTTTGGAAGGCTATGTTATTGTAGAATCAGATGGATCAGGTTTGTGCTGGTATTTAAAAGTACTGAAATTACCCTAGTGATAGTGACGGAACCACAGCATTGCTCGTCATTTTGCAAGTGCATTGTTTTGTAGTCAAGCAGGGCTGTTTGTCTTCTACACATGTACCTGTGTTCAAATATCGAGTTGACGGTACTCTAACGTAGGTTTCTATTGAAAAGCAGCAATTACCACAGTAAAATGCTCGAGTAAATTTGCGTAGGACCCTGCAATTTTGTTGCATCGACTAAAAAACGCTCAACTTAATGACTAATTTTGTGTAAGGAATCAGCCTACGCTAAACGCAAATTTGGTAAATATATCGAAGAGGTGCTTATGGTGCGCAAATTCATGAATGGTATCATTTTTTGTTGCTGCAGGAATTGAGTAAATAGAAAAGGAAAACGTTTTTTATAATGTCATGCTTACATTGGCATTTCATGCATCTTGAGTCCTTCTGTTGCCAGTTTTTTTCTATACATATGTTTACACTTTATAAATGTGAAATGTGCTTAATCTGATTATTTCACTATTACGATTTGTCCAAAATATCCTGCTTGCTTTATCCCATTCACTTAAACGTTTTGCACTTTTTACGGATTCTAAGAGGCCTACTTTGGTAGCCATGGTACCACATTTAGGCTATCCAGATCAAAGACGACAATGAGTCCACTTGGAAGAAGTTCTGTATTAAATGCTGTTTTAGTAACAAATTATTTTAGATATTGCTTAACCTAACCTCTCTTCAAACATGATTATGTTTCATTCAACCCCTCCCTCAATTTTCAATCTTTGAATGCCTATTTTGTGTACCATTCGTTTGAATTTCGGCCCAAACTGCAGGTGGCCGTGGCGAGTTCCTTCACCATGAATGCGTCACTTCTTAATGTTCAATGATGTCTTGAGCCTGACAAGGTCGGCTTCCACAATTTCCTTTCGTGTGGAATCTGTGCGTAGGCTTCGTTTCATTTCACGTTCAGTCCTAATTCGAGCCCACTTCTTTTGTTTTTCAGAATTTGAACAGAGTGCTGCTACCCGCCCCTCATTGCGTACCAAGTAATACCTGCTTTGTTGTTTTCACTGTTTTTCCATCTTTGCTAAGTCCACTAAAACAATCATGTAATTTTAAGTCATGATTGCTATAAATATTAGCTGCTTGTTAAAGTTCCCGTTGCATTGCTTTGGAAACACCGCGGACTCTTCCCACTTGTTCATGTTGCCTTGGAGTGCACTACAGTTTCCTGCAGTAGAATCACCTAATCCTTATCCTGTGTTCCTCACTTGTTCAGCCGTCCAACTATCCATAAAGTGAGCACAAAAACCGAGTTTGATGTGAGCTGTTAGAATTTGACATGTTGTCCCAGTTTTGGCTGAAAGTGTGCACTCTGAGACCTTTCATCGTACCAAATTGTTCAGTACCTTCTCTTATTTTTCATCCTTCGTAGTTGTTGGACCGTGTCGATTCCCAAATGTCCTAAGCATCGACAATATGTCCGCATATTTGCGGCCAATTTCGACAGCGCTTTTCGCGCTGACATTCAAGCGACTTTCCCTATTTTCGCATATTCCTTTCGTTGGTAACCTTCGTAACATGATATTAAACTTTGTGCATTTCAAGGGCTCATTCTTCTCGGCGTGGACAGCCACCTCCAGATTACCGTTCGTTGCTTTCACCGTCCTCAGATAATAGGCACCAGAGCTCCAACTCAAAGGGCAAGCCCCAGTCCGGAAAGCCGTCGGTGAGTGGACTGTGGAATTCTTAGAGACGTTGGGTAAATTTGTGGTGCAAAAAGTCAGAGTCACGAGCCTGTGAATTAAAAGTTTGGTGTAATTTACATAGTCTTTTGGTCTTCTCGGTAGATACGATTTATTTGGGTGTCAATGTGGACAAGAAAGTTGTGTGCACTGGATTTGATTAGGGGGGAAATAAAGTTTTATACCCACAAACCTTACCAACTAACTATTAATCAATGGTGTTGTCTATGTGATTGTTGTTTTCGAGTCCATTTTTTAAATCGCTTCCATGTGCTTCATGGAGCCTTTCAAACAAACTCCTGTTTTTTTTCAGCTTAAATGCAACGAACACCGTGGCAGCCAAGAAGCTGGAGCGCCTTCCAGGCAATCACCTGATCCCGCGCACGCAGGTAATGCAGGATCACTCATTGCTGTTTTAGCCGCACTAGGTTCAGTTATGTCCTGATCTTTCTTTTTTAACATAAACATGACATTTCCCTTTGACCTAGCCGGTTTATGATCTATAAATTACAAATTGTCAAGCAAGGCTCCCACTTTTGGCAAAGATATAACTGTTTAAATGCCAATTTACGCACACCATACTCATAAATGACCTCGCCATTTTGAAATGGGAAGGTTTGGTCACCTGGTAGTGTGATTTTGGAATCTCCTTTTACCAACCATCCACTTGTGTTTAGTTTGTGTCATATATCTCCGTTAGTATGTCTGTGATTTCTTGATTTGCCATGTCTTTGTGCATCCTTTGTTTATCAGGCTAAACTCATGTCATCGACGGTTGACGATCCCTTATATCTGATGCTTGTTAATTCTATTGGTTAGCTGCATATCTGTCTCACACAGTGTTAAGTCTTCTCCTCATTAGTATCATTTTGTTCAAGAATTGTTTACCATGATTAATTTCGATCCAAACACTTTCCCCATTCTTCGAAGACCTGGGTAACATTCGATTATATTTGCGCTCACAAACTTATTTTCAGTCGTTAGCGCCTGTTTTCAGTGCCCGTTTGGTGTTGTACTCAACTGCGGTTCAAATCTCTTCTTGGGTGTTAATGAGGAGTTGACTGAAAGACTCGCTGCCTCACTAACAATCTGCTAATAGACTAAAGCAATTCTAATGATTTCTATCCAACCAGTAGACTTAGTTTTGAAGTGTTTTGCAGTTATATAGGCGCCTCATCGTCTGCAATCTGAAATGATTTAAAGCGATTTGCAATCCCATTGTTCGTTATTTAGCGAGTTTTCTGTTTGTGAGTGCGGTTTTCTTACCTGTCGTGGTTTCGGGCGTCTTGCAACCCAATGATTGCACAAAAATGCGTCGCCACATATAGTTTTTTTTTTCCAAAAAATCTTATTCGTGCAGAGTAAATTTATTCGTAAGAAACCATGATCTTATGGCAATAAAAAGTTTTCATTCACTCACCCACACTTAACTTCTGCCGTCAGTTGCAACCTTGTCGCGTAACAAGCCTTCTCTAGTCAGCTTTTTGATTGAGGTGTCAATGTCAACTACCTGCTCGTGAGTAATCGTTCCTCCCAAGAGAATTGTCATCTCCCTCGTCATTTCCTACCGTCACATGCATTGAGTCTCTGTGTGTGCGGTCCTCAGGAATGTGACGCTTCAAATTTATTGTCATTTTCTGCGCAGTTGTGCTGTTTTAGCTAATATGGTGCCAACCCCAGTCCTTTTCACCTTCCCCATGTTCCGTAACTTTGTCTTTTAGTCCAGCGGCAGACCGTGAGAGCAGATTATAATGGCTCACTTGTTCCGCCAGAACTTACGGAGGAAAAATTAATGGAGGTTAGCAGGCAAATTTGTCATAAATATTGCCTATATTGCTTCTTTTGGGGTGTGAAAGTGGATGTTTGTGTCAGCTGACGAACCGTGCGAACATTTATAATTGTCTAATCCTGCTCCTTACGTTGTTTAGCTTAACTAACGATGAGAGCAGTTGTTATGGAGATCCTTGTTCCTTCAGCATCCTTTAATCTTAACGCAACGTCTTATTGTATCAACCAACTTGTAGTAAAAGGTTAGTAATTGTTTGCCAATTTACGCGTTTCTTGGGGTCTCGGAATACGACTGGCGCGTGTCCGTACGGTTATTCAATGGTTAAATTTGAATCTTTGATTTAGCACGGCGACTTCGTATGTATTCCTCTTTCTGTGTTGTGCGCGTCCACGTTTTAGCCGGAGCACAAACTTGAATTGCAGACTGTGACCATGGTGTTGGAGCTGTGCGAGCTGCTTGCCGAGTTGGCCGAGCGGCGGGCTTCGGCGCTGACCGACTGCACCACCACCACCACCACCGCGGTCGCTCAGCCGGCCGACTCCAACGGCGAAAACAGCGACAGCTCGCTCCCCAATACTCCACTTCAAACGCAGCAGCACACTAAACTCAAGCTCGTTCCTGAAGCTAAGCGGCAAGTCTTATTCACCACATTACATCCTCTTACTGTAACTTATGCTTCACGCCTTCTATGAGTATCTGAGTTTTTCTCTAGTCCACGAAATCGCTTTTATTTTTGTTGAAAGTAGACTCAAAAGTCTCGTGTTGACTGTAGTAGCTTTTTTAAACCATCAAATCCTAGGTCCACTGGCACCGGCTACGATTCGGTGTCGCTTGTCATGTCTCATGCGTTGCTTATTTTGACAAGGCAATCCTTTCCTAATATTCTGTTTTTTTTTTTTTACTTCAATACTTATGAATGCTAGAAACAAAGACTCCTTTTTGAAGAAGAACTTGTCACAAAGCTTTTACTGATTTGGCACACTAATTAGCTGATTAAAGTCCTAGAGCGCCGAATTTCATTTAGTATTGGTAAAATCGTTGGAGCCCCGTCGATATTACGGTAACACAGGCATTGGACACGGTTTCTCCCTGTTTTTAGTTTCCTCGGCTCCTCACAATTTCTATGTTCTATGTCAAATGTGACTAACCTAGATGTTTCGGAATTAGAATTTGCCCAAAATAGCCTGCGTTCACGTCAACATTTTGCGAGTTTTCACGGGATTCAAGAAGCTTACTTTGTTTCATCCACATTGTGGATGCCCAGGTCAACAACGATAGCGGGGTCATTTGGAGGAAGTTTTAAATCAAACTTCTCCAGGTTATTTGGAAATTGTCAAATTGACGTCTGCTTAACCCATTTCAAGTGAAATCCTGCTTCCTCTATGTTTTATTTGCCGTGAATATACTTCCTCTTCCACACAGTAAGCTTATCTAGTTTTTTTTTGAATAACGCAGTATTTTGTTTACTTGTAGCATCGTAGAGCAGCTTGTGCTGTATCGGAGGATTCTGTACTACCTAGAGTACGTCTTTGCTCAAGTGAAGAAAGCTGTTTCTGAAAACCGATTAAAACCAACATCAATCGCCAAAAAGAGTATGTGTGTTTTTTTCCCTTCTTTGTTTCTAACTTTTAACTAGTCGTGCAGCTTTTGTCAAGTTATTTTTATATCTGTTTCAATAATTTTCCGACAAATGTGTACTTGCTTATTCCAAGATAGTTATCAATTTAATAGTCTTATGTTTTCGGGCATTTGATATCGGTTTTTGGGATTGCGTCGTTTTTGCAGACTTTTTTTTTTTCTGAGGCGTTCGTTGGTGTTCGATTTGGGTTTTTTTTTCGATCTGTTGCAGTGTGTGGTTGGTTAGGTTTTGTTGGGTGACGGTTACGTCTTCACAAAACTTTAATGAGGGAACTGACTTATTACTTTTTCATTCATTTGGCCACATTGTGAATGCCTGGCATGGTGTTAGGAGTCCCACCTATCTACGTGGCCCCAAAATACAGCCATAAATGGTAAGTTTCAAGGGCTTACCAACCATTTCAAGTTGTATCGCACTGCGCCTGAACGTTTGGTGTCGCGTTAAGTTAGTCTCAATTTAGTTATCAAATCTACAGTAGATAGATCCAAGTGTAGTGATAGACCTCTTTTGCTATTCCTTACCGCATCCTTTAATAGTCCCTGCTTCGGTCTTCATGTAACCGGGATCTGATCTGCTAATGTTTCCCATGTTTAAAAGGCGCCTGTATTTCGTTGGAGGTTTACGTGCAATTTACTTTCAAAAGATGAAACATGAATAGCTTTAGACTAATTCAAAAGTCTGAAAAGACCAATTTGAGATCTCGGCTGTTTGAAAGCACTTTAACAAATGATCCAGTTTGAAATTTTGCGTTTTTGCACACTTTTCGTTCCAATTGTCTGACATGTTTGCACTAAAGTATTGTCTTGAGGCATACAGATATGTGGATAGTATGATGTGTTGTCTGAAAAAGAATTTCTTAATTATCAACATGAAATAAACTGTTAAGTCGGATTTTCATGTATTCCATCCCTTGCTGTTGGTCTAGCATTGTGGAATCGATCGCAAGCTGGTAAATTGAACATTCGCTCGTCAACCGCCAATTTGTGGCCGTTGTGTATGTCTGATGAGGTTTCTGCACATTGTCCTGCGATGCAATGTTTGTGCCCCTGTTGCACTTGTGCTCCTTTACCGTTGTAGGACTAACCGACTGCAATGCCTTGTACCACCGGTGCTACATTAGGTTGTGTCAGTTATCACGTCTGTCGCGGCGTGAGGACCTACTCGAACCCGTGGGTCGTCATCTATCCCGCGTCACTGCTAACCGCCTCATTTTTAACTATGCGCTTGATCAGGTAGCGACCTTTCTCATCGCAATTTGCCGTCTTTTGCGTTTTTTTCTTAGCTTTCCTATTTCCCAGTTCTCTCCCAAAAGTTCCTTTATAAGACACCGCGTGTTGATATTAAATTTTGCAGATGTTTTTCTACGTACTAAAAAGTTGGTCAGTAGCTGTAAATTCATAACTGGCGTTCGTTATTGGAGAAAGCTGCTTTCATCTTGTTTGTTGCCGCCTTTCCATTAATTTTTTTTGCTAAGGATGCTAACGTATAATGACAGAAATCGCCATCGCCCTGGGCTTAGAATATGCTCTTCAATGCTATGACTATTTACATCCTTTAAAGTTGCTATTTTTCGGTGTTTTTGAGTGTGTGTCAGCCGTTATGTTATTATGTTTTAGTGTTTTGCCGCCGAAATGGATGACTACATTGGTGATCTGGGTCTTGTGAGTATTTTTTTCCGCTTACTTTTGTCGTGTTAACGTCCTGGCTTCGGGTGTTACACCCTCACCAAAGCAACTACTTTACTTGTTTATTTCAAATGGGCTGATGAGGAACCGTGTACCCAGTAAAAATAAGAAAACCGTTCATTACGTAATTGAATCGGCGTGTAAAGCCCTGACTGCCTACTTGTATTTAAGTCGATGTGCGTGTGTCAACGCAAATTAACGGGATTCATCAGGGCCGATATTCGTACTTTCCACCATGCGTAGACGCGCCTTTGGCTCCATTTCCATGTCTTACTGGTGCCTCCGCGTTTACAGCTTGTATAATACGTTTTTCGTTTCTTTTTTTATTCCTTTAAATTGTACAAACAAGTTTGTGTTATATGTTAAAATTTCATACTTATTATTGTTTAAAATATGCCTTACATAACGCGTTCTTAAAATCCATGCTCTCAGGCGCTCCGTCGTTATCGTGCAGCAATCACACTCATCCACGGTCTCTGTCAGCACGCCACCACCCAGTATGACAAGTCACTTCTTTCTGATTGTTTGCGGATGATTCAGGATCGCCATGGCACCCTTTGGGCACACGTCGCTGGTAGCGGTTGCAGGGCACGTGGAGATGAAATTCAACGTCGAATCTCCAATGTCGGTCTCGACTCCCCACTAGCTCCTTCTTCAGTAACCAGTCGGTGACCGATCTACTTCGCCACTAATCCTAGAAGCTCGCAATGCTTCACACTTTCTCATGCATATTTAAAAGCGGGTGTATCTTGGCTCTGACCTTTTACTCACGGTTCTGTACATATGCGACTTTGTGTGACTGTTCTTTTAGGCTATTTCTCGATCTCCACCTATACCACGGTGTACCCTTTATTTGATTCACATTTCTCACCCAATTTAAATGTTCCCTACCCTCAGCATTCTTTAATTCCCCTTCGCTGTTGGCTATCGTGCAGAAATTTTGTAGTCTGCCTAAGGCCAAATGGGATGGTAGAATGCGACTATTTGTGCTTGGGGATCATTGGCGGCACTGTCGTAGATTTGGTGTGACTGATTGTAAATGGAGAATTAGAGGGAAAGAGCGGTAAGAATTGACAGCCTCGCAAAGAATACTGACTTAAATAATCGATAACGGGAGTCTGGTGCGTGGTTTTACTAATCTTGAGCTGTAGTGTGGATTCGTGTCTACATGGGGGAACGCAAAGTTCTCAACCAATGTAGGTGGAATCATGTAACTGGAATCGTTCCAGTGCATCGGTAACACACCATGGATTCAGAAGTGTTATTCGTTGGATATGCTTTGATGAGAGGTTATGGTGACCAATTACCTAACCTATAAGTGACCATGGTGGGGGAGATTTATTGCTGTACACGTAGCTAATTTGACCTTTTAACATTTTTTTATTCTAGGATATAAAAAAGTCTGTGTCTGTCTGGAAAAAATCTTGATATTTATTGAAAGCTTCCCATGTTTTCGAAGGGATGTACAAATTGGGCGGAGATATCACTTAAAGTTCCATAAAATATTGATTCCCTCAGCTCAGTCATTAAAAAACGTAAGAAATTGCTCTCAAAATTTTTAGACACCAATCGATATAGGTGACGGCGAATGTACTCGGACAACACTCACAGAACAAAATCCCGTTATTCGAATATCAAAATTCTGATTGCAACGCCGTTTAACGTACATATTTATTTGTCATTTTAAGATGAAGTTTCCAAGTAGGTCATTATTCTCACAAAGAGAGGATTCAACAATGGTGCTGCGCCCGATTTCTCAGCATGAAGAATACAGCACTTAGTAAATACCCGCAAGCTGGAACCGTAACTCCGAGACCTTGTTGATGGAAAGGCCATCCACTTTACATGCTTTTTGTCCACTTTTGCTTCAGGTTGGTTTCTGATCACCAAGGAAGACCATTCAAACGCACAAGGACAGGTTTTTGCTGACCGTGGTATGTTCTGATATTTTTGTTTTATGAAACGGCACTATGCAGGCTCCAATTCAAAAGGAGGTACCCTCAGCTCCTAGTTCTAAGTAGTAAAACTGAAAATAAATAATAAATGTAACGTTTCGAAAATTCCAGAAAACACGTCTGGAATGAGGGTAGTCCTGGCTAACAACATATGGATGATAAATTCTTTCCACGTCACTCATAGGTCGCTTCTCCAATTGCAGTCATTCGACCTCAAAATGTCGCTGCCGCCTTTGCTGACTTTAAGATGACAATTCAGTTTCGGTGTGCCTCATCCCCAACATGTCTTTCGATCCAGCAGAGGACTGGTTCAGATCGCTATAATTCATTGTGTCTGCACCACAGAGTAGCACTACACATCGCTTAATACTGGAGAATACTAGAGCCTTAGTGTGAAGAACACCAGCACAATGGAATAGGTTTCATTGATTACCTACAAGCCAGAATCGTATATGCAGGAATGCCCATGTAACTAGTGCAGCGGATTGACAGATAGCAGCCATATTTATTCTAATCCATTGGTTGAAGGTGAGGAGCACACCATGGTGGCGACGTCATGTGACCATGGGTTCGACTTCCGTCTGTGTGGCGTCACGCGGGCATTGAATGACGCGCCGAGGACTGAGAGCCAAACCGCTCACGAGTTTTCCGTCTCCATTGCAGCGCCGCGGAACGAACCAACGGGAGAACAGGAAGACCAAGACAGGGATATATAAAGCCCCTGTCTTCCCCCATACGAGTAATCAGACTATAGCACTTTCTGTATCTAGTAAAGTTATCCGTGTTACCTCTCAGCCTTGTTCTTACCATGGGCCTGAAACCTACACTAGCCAGCTGAAAATATTCTGCCTCCTATCCGCTCTTGTCTCTGGTTGGCTACAGTTCTTCCTTACAGGCTATCTAAATTTACAGAGACAGACGATTTCCTGAGCTTGGCGACGACCCATATATCTGCGCCCTTTAACGTCACTTCAATAACTTGAATAATAATCGACACCTAGTATTAAGACTGGCATAAGAGAACAAGTCGTTATTGACCGAACACAGAAACACGCTACAGGCGCCGTCCATTCAAGTCAGCCAATCTTGATGCGACGTTTACGATATATTACGCCCATACGTGTCCGTCTCCGTGTGACTTTATACCTTCATCGCAGTTGTTTAAAAAGCAGAGAAAGAGAATTAGCTGAGGTCGGCGTACTACAATATGTCTTCGTCGCTAGTTACATGCTGCTTCTCGTGTGTGCATGTCTCTGATTGGCTGCATATCTTCCTTGCATGCCATTCGAACACAGATATAGAGGATTGACTAAGGCTGGTGTGGTCCAATAAGTCTGCGCCCAACCACATTGAGATGCTGCCTCACCCTCAGGAATGAAGCTGTCCTCAGTTCTGGCTTAGTTCCCCCCACTGCAGATGATTGGTAAAATACGCCACACCTGGTAGGATAGTGGCCTAAGCGACTAGTAGACGAGGAACTTTGCTCTTGTAGACTTGCAGGAAGGACTCATCATCCATTGAAGGTACATCGCAGACGCAGTCCAGCTGGCTTTCACTGTCCAAGTCGTCGTTGCTGAGTTACCAATGCCTCTTCAGATGCAACAGTCCTAATCCCGGGCAATGTCTATGGATCCACTTTATTGGACATCGGATGAACGCCATGAAAAAATCAGCTAACATTTAACTGTCTTTGCCTGTGCTGACCATAGAAAAGAAAGGGCTGGGGTTCGATTTGCGTTATTCGAACGCATCCGCTGCCACCAGTGTAGAATACCCGAGCCCTAATAGGTAAAAGACCGGTACAACAGAACAGGCTTTATTGACCAATCAGAAACCAGAGCCCCGCGTCAGGCGCCTTCCATCCGAGTCCCCACGCTGGCCACGCCGCACATTATATACTGCATCTCATCCATGTCCTTCTCTGG